GCTGCCCCCTTTAAAATAATAATAAAAAATAAAAAAAAGAATAAACTTGCATTCCTCCCCCCTCCCCGAGGCTGGGTAGTGCATGCAGGAAGGTAAACATGTCCACTGTGGTGAGCTCAGACCACGCGGATGCCTCGCTCCAGGTAACAGTCGTCCTCCACAGCTCTGCGCCCACCAGCAACATCTCGGCATTCCACTAGCAGTGCAGAGTAGCCCGTGTCTGAACAGATTTCCGCTTCAGTGCCAACCCTCCCCTCCTCAAGCAAGGACATCCACGGATTTGATGAGGAGTTTGATTCAAATGAGGGTCAACAGTCTGACCTCTACCTACAGTACCTGGCTGATGGCTTATATTCCGTCTGAAAAGAATCCTTTTTTAAAATTGTGTGTGGTTTTTTAAAGACGAACCTGCTATTGAACAGGACATAGCTCATTTTGAGGACTTAGTGGGCGTTCAGACCGTAAACAGCCGTGTGTTAAAATAATGCAAAGGGGGCTACAAGCGGGGAGATGATGAAGTATGATGGCGGTAGTTCAATTTAAGTAAAACATCTCTCCTCCGAGATCAATCTGAGTGCTGATCAGACCTCAAAGCACTGCACATAATAATTACACATTATAAGACATTCATAATACTATGAGACAGGACACTGTGACCATGACTTTATCTTTATCTTACAGTAGAAATCTGCATTCATATAATCTACCAAGAACATGAATTTTTTGATATCTGGCCAACACAGCGCCTTGCCAGATTACATCGCAATGCAGGGCCCAAAATACCACCTGCATATTACATGGTAGTGCAAGTAAACTTTGAGCTGTGCAGACAATTCTCAGCTTAACATGCACTAACTATGTTATGTGCACAGCCCATTACTAACAATAAAATGTCATTCAAAATATAAGAAACTGTTTAAATATGTTCAGCTTTTGTATTTATTTTAAAACTCGGGGGTGAAAATGTTTGGTGCGGGATTTATTGAAGCCCAAAATATACTGGCTGGCTCTCCACATCCTGGTTACGCCTACAATCCAGGAAAAGAGCCTTCCAGACAGAGTCAGATCTGGCTGTGACGGAAGTGCCCGAGAAAGAAGGACGAATACACCAACTGGTGTTTTGGGTTTATGTCATTTTAAAAGTTACAAACCACCAATGCTTTACACAGAAATATTTGGAGCCCTGCAGCGCCTTATGGAAAAAAGTTGAGCCAGGTTAAACTTTCTTCACCGGACGACGACTGTGTTTCTCCGTCTGTGTTGGTGCTCTTTTGCACAGCAGATGAAATAACTCAACTTAAAAACTGCCAAGTCTACTAAGTAAATGGTACTGTTCAAGTGGAATTGTGCAGATGTGCACTGCTGTTTTCATCATGTTTGCAGCCACAATCTGCAATCTATATATGCATATGTATATTGTAACGTCGTGAGAAGTCACTAGGGCAACTCAGGTACGTCTCTTTATCAAAAAAAAGTCCAAAACAAACAAAAAGCGTCCAAGCAGAGATAATGGTTCGTTAAGCAGAACAGTATTCGACAAAAAAACTCAACTCAGAGTGTCCTCGGTCTTTTCCTCCGTCTGGTTTGGAACTTTACTCTACGCAGTTCTCCAGTCCAGGTTAGTTCTCTGGGCTCCCTCCAGCCGTGTGCTCTCCTCTCTCCTCTCCTCCTGTCTTAATTAGGTGACTTAAACACCCACATCTGGGTGACTGGTGAGGCCTTCTGGGAGCTGTAGTTTGTGCCTCGTTGGCCATTTTGTGATGTGGCTGCTGATCATTAAAGGGAATGTAGCACCCATCTACCGCCTGGCCCCTTGTGATGCCACAATATACAGGTGCTGGTCATATAATTAGAATATCATCAAAAAGTTGATTTATTTCACTAATTCCATTTAAAAAGTGAAACTTGTCTATTATATTCATTCATTACACACAGACTGATATATTTCAAATGTTTATTTCTTTTAATTTTGATGATTATAACTGACAACTAAGGAAAATCCCAAATTCAGTATCTCAGAAAATTAGAATATTACTTAAGACCAATACAAAGAAAGGATTTTTAGAAATCTTGGCCAACTGAAAAGTATGAACATGAAAAGTATGAGCATGTACAGCACTCAATACTTAGCTGGGGCTCCTTTTGCCTGAATTACTGCAGCAATGCGGCGTGGCATGGAGTCGATCAGTCTGTGGCACTGCTCAGGTGTTATGAGAGCCCAGGTTGCTCTGATAGTGGCCTTCAGCTCTTCTGCATTGTTGGGTCTGGCATTTCGCATCATCCTCTTCACAATACCCCATAGATTTTCTATGGGGTTAAGGTCAGGCGAGTTTGCTGGCCAATTAAGAACAGGGATACCATGGTCCTTAAACCAGGTACTGGTTGCTTTGGCACTGTGTGCAGGTGCCAAGTCCTGTTGGAAAATGAAATCTGCATCTCCATAAAGTTGGTCAGCAGCAGGAAGCATGAAGTGCTCTAAAACTTCCTGGTATACGGCTGCATTGACCTTGGACCTCAGAAAACACAGTGGACCAACACCAGCAGATGACATGGCACCCCAAACCATCACTGACTGTGGAAACTTTACACTGGACCTCAAGCAACGTGGATTGTGTGTCTCTCCTCTCTTCCTCCAGACTCTGGGACCCTCATTTCCAAAGGAAATGCAAAATTTACTTTCATCAGAGAACATAACTTTGGACCACTCAGCAGCAGTCCAGTCCGAGACGCTTCTGACGCTGTCTGTTGTTCAAGAGTGGCTTGACACAAGGAATGCGACAGCTGAAACCCATGTCTTGCATACGTCTGTGCGTAGTGGTTCTTGAAGCACTGACTCCAGCTGCAGTCCACTCTTTCTGAATCTCCCCTGCATTTTTGAATCGGTTTTGTTTCACAATCCTCTCCAGGGTGCGGTTATCCCTATTGCGTGTACACTTTTTTCTACCACATCTTTTCCTTCCCTTCGCCTCTCTATTAATGTGCTTGGACACAGAGCTCTGTGAACAGCCAGCCTCTTTTGCAATGACCTTTTGTGTATTGCCCTCCTTGTGCAAGGTGTCAATGGTCGTCTTTTGGACAACTGTCAAGTCAGCAGTCTTCCCCATGATTGTGTAGCCTACAGAACTAGACTCAGAGACCATTTAAAGGCCTTTGCAGGTGTTTAGAGTTAATTAGCTGATTAGAGTGTGGCACCGGGTGTCTTCAATATTGAACCTTTTCACAATATTCTAATTTTCTGAGATACTGAATTTGGGATTTTAATCATCAAAATTAAAAGAAATAAACATTTGAAATATATCAGTCTGCGTGTAATGAATGAATATAATAGATAAGTTTCACTTTTTGAATGGAATTAGTGAAATAAATCAACTTTTTGATGATATTCTAATTATATGACCAGCACCTGTATATGTATGTCTGCTCAGTCAGGAAGTACTGTAGGAGTGGAGTAATTGCACTTCAACAGTATGGAATTACTTCCTATGCAGAAACGTGCAATGGACAAGAAGAATTGACTTCAGACAAGCGTCCTCACTGACAGAAGTAATTGCACGACGACCGCGTCAATCTGAAAATTCAGGTCATCGGTTTGGCGTGCAGCGCATTTGTGTTCTTAGAGTCCAGCCTATACGCTGCCTAATCCCGTTCCCCTGTAATGCGTAGGAGGACAAGGTGTGGGCTGATGTTCATTACTTTCCTCTCTGCGAGTCGATACTCTTTCTCAGTCTTCCAGTGCTCCCATGGTGACACTATGTATACCCAAGCTGCCAGATGCAGCACAATACTGCGAGTGTGTGTGTGTGTGTGTGTGTGTGTGTGTGTGAGGCAAAGAACACATGATGTGATTAGGGTGACAGAAATGTACATCCTTATCCGAGACTTCGTCTCTAATGAAATCACTAAATATTACAGGGAGTTCTTATTTGACAACATTGTGTCAGTGGCTACCACCGCCCACTGGTTAACGGTGTCAGCCTCCACTTTGAAAGCCTTTCCATAGAAACCGCCAGTAAGTGACAGCATGCTTGTTTGGAAAAAAATAATGTCATAATGGAGCTCCCCCCGGGGCTGAGTGTAGAACCGTTCCTGCCTCGAGACCCACAGGTACATTTTTTTTTTTAAATAAATAAAAATTCTATCACGACCAGCAATGCGGCTGTGAAATAGAACTTAGACACTGGATGAGTCCACTCAAAGGCTGCAGAGAGTGAGACAAAGTTTTTTGAGAAACATGGGGATACTGGAGGCTGATGTGAGGCTGACGACGGTTGCCGTTCCCCTTATGTTTACCATCATTTCCCTCCACAAACACCAAGCCGGGCTGGAAAAGGCCAGAGAGCCAGGGCCTCCAGCATGCAGGCAGTCCAAGACGAGGGTGGGGGTGGGGGGTGGCAGAGAGTGAAAAGAGAACTGGAGATAAGGGAGGGAGTGGGAGAGAGGGGTTAAGGCAATCACTGATGAGAGAGAGAGCGAGAGAGCGAGAGAGAGCAGGAGCGAGAGAGAGCAAGAGAGAGAGAGAGCTCGGGCTAAGCTGCCTCCAGACACCACGCGGCTCAGAGCAGATCGAGAGTGACGGCTTGCTGATTAGTCAACTCACAGCACCCCCAAGACCGGAGCCCGCACGCACGCACGCACGCACGCACGCACACACACACGCACACACACACACACGCACACACGCACACACGCACACACACACACACACACACACACACACACACACTTGCTGTGCAGTTCATTTAAATAAACCCTGCTATTACCGTTGCACGCGTGCCAAAAACATGTGAACACGTACACATGTAAACAAATAAGAAGCACAGAAGTGCAGAATGCAAACAGAAGAACAGTCAATTTACATCTTAAGGAAGGAGACAAAATCTACTTTGAGACTTTTAAGTCTGCAGCACGTCTGCAACTTGCATGCGTGGACATAATGCGATGCAGGAGTGTACATTGATTAAGAGTCACAATGTGTACAGGGGGGGTCGGTGGTTAATTACCTTAAGGAGATAGACGGGGATGTTGCTGAAGTCCCCCGGTAGCTTGAGAAGGAAACGGGCTGAGAACTCTCCCGTCTGGTGAACAAGGAACAGGGTTTCAACATACGGGTCATACAGGAACAAAGAATGGTGCGTTTTGGTGTAAAAAAAAAAAAAAAGAATGCGTACATATACGATATGTATAAAATGTACAGTGTGAAGATAGAATCACTGTCAAAAACCATAGGGCTGGGTTTCGTTAGAAAAATTCTAAATGTTGGGCAAATACAATACCAAACACGTCCTCATACCTACACGAAATAATAAGGCGTTTGCCACTGACAACCAAAACAACATATGTTGTAAACACGTGGTTAACGTTGTGAAAAGGAACTACTTGGTTAGGTTCAACAAAATATCTTGTTTTGGGTTAAAATAAGCATGTTTGTAAATAAGTATGTGACAAAGATACTAGGTTTTGTACTTGACGTTGTATGTGACGTGGTTCCGTAACTTGAACTCGTTTCACACGGGACACCAACAGCTGTCTCCTGGGTGAAAGTCCTGTCCTGTTAGTTTGACCCATCGTTGCACCCCGACCACCTCCCTACGTGGACTTTGTCGCTCTTTATACTACGTCACCTGACTTCCTCCTTTACTCCCGTCATGATCGCCGCCTAGCAACAAACGTAAATATGTGTCGCAATAAGCTGACGACTATACGGTGAGGATGGCTTGCAAAACCTGAGTTTTGGTAGCAGTTGCCACATTTAGTTTTGGGATTAGGAATGTGCTTTAGCTCAACAAAATATGCCAACCTGGCATATTACAAGAGAAAGATAGAAGCTAGAGAGTTACAAGCTACTTCTGTACTTGTAGAACTCAAAGGGTCAGAGTGAATGGTGTTGTCTAAGCAGCATTTGTTCTGGCTCCCCACGGGCTTGTGTCCTGTCCCCATTCTACATCAACGACTGTAGAAGACACTACCAGGACAGGCACATTCTGAAATGTGCAGATGATACAGTTGTTGTCAGTCTGCTTCATGGGCGTGAGTCATCACGTGGGCCTGTGGTCAGTAATCTTGCACAGTGCTGTGATGATCACTTTCTGGGATAAGCATTTCTAAAAGATGTGGTTATTGACTTCAGAAAAACTTCCACCTTCTCAGGGCACCTTCTGGTTGCTGCTCCAAAACCCCCACTAACAACCTAATCGGTCAAAACTTACAAAACTTTGTCTCTTATCTTCTGTTTTGCAAAAGCCACGATGTGGTTTGGAAATGGGCAGCTCATTGAGAACATTCCCTCAGCGTGTTTTTGTTTATGGTATTTCTTGCCTATTTAGTTGGACAGCTGCTAGAGTACAGGGAGACAGGAAATGACATTGCAGTTATATTGCTTATGCCATGTACATTCAACTATCAGGCCACGTCCCTCTGTAAACTCTGAGACACTGTTGTACCCGATATGTCCAGCTGTGACATATGGAGCAAAAAAACATAACGCTAGGCAGTTTGGTTCATCATCGCTTTCATTAGGTTCCCGCTTCATTTTATGTCAACATGTTTGTGTTCAAACACACACGCTCTGAAATAATAGAAACTTTTCAGAATGACTGAAAGGTCTGCTTTCGTTAATAACATGCACATTGATGCGGCATGATGTTCCAAACCAACTAACATGCTTGCAATGTACAACGTAGGGTAAGCACAATATTGCGTTTCGTAATGATCATGAGTTATTGTAATCTTGTCCTCAAGAATGTGTCTTGACTGAGACACACAGATCAAAATGTGATGGCACAGTGATCTGAAAATCATGTGCATATTGGGACTGGCCAAAATAAAAATCCGGAACACATGATTCTGACTCGTCTGACACTAGTTCCTTTGTACAGGCAAACAGGAAGTTTTATTCCATGCTATTTCCTATGGAATTGTCTTCTGAGGACTGCATACAAAATTGAGTGCGATTATGTTTAATAACTTGATTCTATGAAAAGACACTTAATAAATAGTGGCACAGTAGAATAAGGAAAAGTCAATCCTCGCTCATGTGATGGCTAAATGTTGAGATGAGACGGTATCACAAGTATTTATGTTCTAAACTCAAGACTGACATAGCGATAGGAACAGCATGTGAACAGTGTTCCTGTCCAACACACGACGTCACCAACAGAACGTCGTTCAACAGTTGCCTACCCAGCTGTTCTTGCGTCCGGCATAAATCTCCATGTTGCGGCCGTAGTTGGGATCCTCCAGCAGACTGTCATACTCGAAGAGCAGCCTGGAGCTTTCGCGCAGACGCTGGCATTGGTAGTGGTGGTACTGCTGGAGGAGCTCCTTCACCAGCTGTAGCAAGCATTCTGGATCCCCAGCATCCCACTGGACCAAGTGCTGAGAGGAGGCATAAAGACAGACATGAGACACGACATCCGTTGTTAGTTTAAACATGTGAACGACATGTTAGAATGTAAAATCAACAAAGCAAAAATAACAGGTAAAAGGAAAAGAAATATGTGTTTTTGATTTTGGGACAAACTGTCCCTTTAAGATTTCAAAATGTCAATGGCAACATCCTGATAAACCATACTAGTCGAAGGTCACATCCGTAGTGCTGTGGATGACTACCAGCTCTCTTGACCGAGGACCACTCATTTGTTTCCCGTATTAAAGAAAGGTAAACAGCACTCAAACATGGAATGTGAACTCACTGGCATACATGGTGGTTATATGACAAGCTCCAAAGGGCTGATCAATTTCAACAACCAATTATAGTTCTGAATGACACTTGAGACAAGTTTGAGGAACGGTTGGGAATTAATAAATAGTAGTAGAGCGGATAGAACACAGGAGTACTAGGGAGAGTTAGGAAGACCACGGTAGAAGAAAAAAGGATTGTGCCAGGAAGAAGAAAAAAAACAAATGCCACAGTAATAGCCTAATCCTGACAAGCGTTACTTCCCATTACCAGATCAGAAGGAACAGGGTTGTGCTAAAGGATGTCCTGTTTCCACGGAGATTTAGATTGACATGGAAAAGTACAGATCCTTTTCTGTCCTCTGTGGCCATACTGATTGATAGATATAGATTTTTGAAAAGGGTGCATTGGGTTGTTTGCAGCATGGGGATATATACCGCACACATGGTGCAATAATTTAGAAAAGCTCAAAACATTTTGTGTATCTTGCACGTCAACAGACTTTCACTCCCACAATCTCTACTTCAGCAATCCCCAACAGCACTCGACCGACCGACCGAAGCCTGGAAGCAATATGCAAATTTACAGGAAAAAACAAACTACAATCATATGCACTTGTCACATATGAGTAAGCAGAACCAACCAGGAGTGATTCTCTACAGGGCATATTCTACCACATGGAAGTTTTTCCACTCTTTAAGGGGAACCCGTCCATTGCAAGGAATAAAACACATATAATTAATGTGAACATCACCGTGTGGAAAAAACAAATTGCAGGCAACATGTCGGGTCTAATAAAGACAGATGGATGGCCGAGTTCTTGGGGAATGAATGCTGTGAAAGCTTTGTAGTGGGGGAGTTCAGCACGCAAATCAAAACACAACCACAACAAAATAAATAAAAAACGTTAAACGGCTTAATGAGTTTGCTGCACTGTTTGGACTTGGAGATGACTGGGTTTGTTAATTTAAAGAGATTCATGCTCCCTCTTTGAAGAGTTTTTTTTTTTTACACAATCGCTACCTTTTTACATTTGAAACACGTCATTTTGGAGAAATGGAGGATGGAGATGATGGCGTGAACGCGTAGCTGCCTTTGCCTTTCCGTAGCACTCAAGCTAATTAAATACAGGTCAACTTAAATGATGAGCAAATCGGAACAGGGAGCAATTTTAGTGTGCACTGAGTGGGAGGAAGGATTAGTAAGACTGTAAGCATTAATAACCATTACATGAAGGTGTCAAGTCAAAAGCGGGACGTCTTTGACTTGCATTAGCTCGTATCCCTGACTGTCTGTCTTTTTGTTCGCTCGTCTTCCTGTCTTCGTCTGGCAGCCCATATTGGCCCTGTGATGGAGAAAGCTTCCATTGTTTTAGAGCAACACCCCCTCTTGCCATGGGAGAGAAGAAGGTGGGGGCTTGGGATCTAAACAGAGACAGTGACCTCATCGTCCCGATCCACCGGTGGTTACCAGCAATGCCGGGATTCCCGAAACGAGAGGTCGACGCAAACAAGGATGGGCATTGTCCAAAAGAGACAGTCAGCGCTCCGGGCAGAGCTGAAACTGAGGAGAGACTGAGGAAGTGCTGTATCAGGATTGTGACACAGAATATCAGCCAAACTCCACTGGAGGAGGAGGAGGAGAGGCAAGGAGGAGAGATCAGAAGTAGGAGAGTGAGGGGGGGGGGGCTACAAAGCTCAAGCAAGTAGGCCAAGGCCAAAGATAACAGGCTTGAGACTTGTTTCAGTGGGAGGGAAAGCTAAGTGTACACTCGACGTGGTGAAGCCGGCACGAGCTGTGCATGCCATTGACGCCATGACATGACTGTCACAGAGAAAAGATCTATTTCCATGTCAAGGCATTATACAAAGAAGGGCAATTCCTTTTTAAATGCTTATGAAACATGTGGTCTTAAAAAAATCTACATTCGAGTAAATATTGCTACCGTCTACAGGATATTCAACATTTGTTTCTTTATAATGCATGTAATAATTGACTCCTATGTGGAGTGCCAATACGAACAAAGCTCAACAGTGAAGACTGTAAACAAAACTTAACTTTTATCCTAAAACACGTGAGAAGAGCTGCAGTACAACTTTATTGCTGGATAAATGATACAGCACATCCCAGATAAAGCACAGGAACAAGAAATGTTCCTGTGTGTTTCGGAGAGATGTGCAGGAGAAACACTCCCTCAAGTGTGTATAGTGAAGGTTTACTCACACTCAGTAGTTAACCCCATTTGCTCCATTTTATTTTAGACAAACTATCGCTATCAGTGGAACTGGGCTCTGACAGTCTCTGTAGGGTCGGACATCAGGGAGGCTCCAAACACATAATGAGGGCCGTGGATGCTGAAAATATCGGCATGTAATTAACTCCTGACAATAATCTCGGAATTCGAGACCGGGAGATGGCAGATGGGGATTCTCCACTCCATGACAAAGACATGCAGTGTGGGCTAAAACTTTGCGAAACAGCTGATTTTTAAAGTGGGCTTCATGTCATATCTGACACGTTTTCAGTTTATTTCTCCCCATAAAAGTTATCTTTCCAACATATAAAACAGCTCTTGATATCGGCCAATACAGTAGCCTTTAAAAGATCCGCGACTGACAGACAGACCCGGGTCACTGTCGGTAAAAAAAACTAAAAAAACACTGCTGTGGTCTGTCTTGTATTGTACTGTCTCTGAGTTAACAAGGTAGCACTCGAATGCCGCAGCGAAGCATTGGTCGAACAGAGGCAGAGATTGTGAAAAGCACTGAGCCAAAGAAGCAATGGACGTGTGTTGCAACATGTGTGCGTGTGCAGACATGTGAGTCTGTATGCAGACTCTTCACTGAATTGATTTTATACGCTCTGCTGAAGGCTGTATGTGCCAAAACAAATCTATGTTTTTTTTCATGAATAGGATAAGCCCTGCGGAAAATGTACACATTTGATGCATAAAAAAAAACAAAAGATGCAATAGCATCTAGCAAATCTAGGCTATTTGAGAGTCAAGATTTAAGGTTTGATGAAATAATCTGAAAAGAAGAAATTCCTTCTACATGCCCTCTCGATCATTCTGTATGGAAAGAACATCTTTCTTCGGGCTTTATCCACAGGGGGTAGATATCGAAGCCCTCGACAATACTCCCCGGATCAATCTGGACCTTGTAATCCAATTATCTTGACACAACACACTGGTTAAACCTGTGTCAAATGATTAAGCCTAAACTTGGCTTATGATAAAACCTGTCGTCTCTAATTCGCAAATCACTGATACTTCCCTTATTTCAAAAGAGCACATATGTGTAAGGGAAGAGACGTATAATCGTATTACCTTTAGATACTATTATTATTATTATTGATTCAATATCAATGTTAAAAACTGCACATTAAAAATATATTGGATTACCATTTAGCATCTGTGGTATTCATGTAGCAGCGTGTCCAAAAAAAAGTCGAAATAGCACAGTTGGTTGACATGAATGTTACAGAACACCATGTCTTTGAACACACATACACACACGTTCTCATGTCTAGTGATTCATTTACTAAAATCAAATTCATTTTAAATGTTAATTTAAAAAAAAAAAAAAAAAATGAATCAAATAATTTTTTTCTTCAAGGAAAATGAATAAAATGAAGGAAATGTGTAGTCAAGTGAATGCACATGTGATACATGGCCAAATATTTTAAACCGCTTTCTTGCAAAATAAGAAAGTCAAATTAGCCAACTAGGCCTGATGACTTTCTAAGAACTTTACTTAGAAATCTACAGTCAGTTATGAACAAGAGATATAGGCTACGTCCATGTGAATGTTTTCGTGCCTAACTTCTGCCACGGTTTAACTAGCGTCCACACTACTCCGGCATTTTCTGAGAGGTTTGAAAATACTGCTGACCCCGTCTTGGTTTGAACACCCAGTTACTTACATTTTGCCTTTGGAAATGGAGACTTTTAAAAAACAGTGACGCAGACACCCACATCCGGTTCCTGATTGGGTCGTATCAGTCACTACGTGTCATTCCCTGATTCGTCACGCCCCTATCACAGGACTTTTACGAAAGAAAACAAACATATCAGCCTCGACTGCCAGTAGTTAATTCAACATGGATAACCAATTACAGGGGTTGCTGACCTTGTTGTGTATGCTAGCAGCTGCTGTGCAGTTCTGCAATTTATAGTGTTCTTCCTCAATAATATTGTCTGCAAATAAGCAACCAACCTCAGAGTAGACAATCTGTACGCAGGTGCCCATTTTAGGTAAATGGCAATGCATTTTCAGGTGTCTTAGTATGGTCGGACAATATTTCTGAAATGGTGCTAAAATGCTCGAGTGCATGGGGATTGTCTCCGATTTCTAATATGCTGCGCAGTAAAAATGTATTAGAGCCTTCACAGCCCGTGTGTGTGACAAATAAACGATGCGAAAAAAGCAAAATACATGCCTGAGAATATTATATGTCTAGGGCTTTTATTGTGAAAGGTAAGAACGGGAAGAGTGGATCTGGTCTGCGCTGCCCTTGTCAAGGGTGAACGGAGATATTTAGTTTGCTGGCTTGGTTCAGACTACGGAGCCTTCCTGCTGTATCATAAGGCGCTACTCTACTTTTCTGCACAACGTGATAGGTTGATGCCTTTATTCGCAGTGCAAGAACTAGAAAGATCTGCGTTGTTTTTCCGCCAAAAAGTATGTCGCTTTTT